TGGAGGCGAGAGGTCAACCTCAGGTGCCATTCTTTAAGGTTTTTTTGGTTTTGGTTTTTTGAGACAGTTTCTTTGTGTAGCTTTGGAGCCTGTCCTGGAACTCACTTTGTAGACCAGGCTGGCCTTAAACTCACAGAGATTCACCTGGCTCTGCCTCCCGAGTGCTGGGATTAAAGGCGTGTGCCACTGCCTGGCTGCCATTCTTTAAGTTTTATCCATCTTCACTTGGCCTGGAACTAATTGATTAGTTTGTGGAATCTAACCAGCAAGTTTTAGAAATCCACTTGTCTCTGCCTCCCCAGCTTTGGAATTTTAAATAGGCTCCACTTTTTTTTTTTTAATTTAATTTTAAATGAGTTCTAAGAGCTCAAACTTAGGTTCTCAGGCTTATGCAGCAAGCATTTAGCCTTGGCCCCTTCTTTCTTTGTTTTGTTGCTGCTGCTATATTGTTATTTGTTGTTGTCTGTTTCTTACTCTTTTTTGGGGGGCCTGCTAAACCAGCTCTCAAATAAATCATACACAGAGGCTGATATTACTTATGAATGCCCAGCCTTTGCTTGGCTTAGTTTCTTTTTTTGGTTTTTTGAGACAGGATTTCTCTGTGTAGCTTTGGAGCCTGTCCTGGAACTCACTCTGTAGATCAGGCTGACCTTGAACTCACAGAGATCTGCCTGGCTCTGCCTCCCAAGTGCTGGGATTAAAGGTGTGTGCCACCAACGCCTGGCACTTGGCTAAGTTTCTTGCCAGCTTTTCTTAACTTGTTTCAATCTACCTTTTGCCTCTGGGCTTTTCCCTTTCTCTTACTTCTGTGTCTTACTCTTACTCCATGGCTTGCTATATTGCCGGGTGTCCTCCTTCTCTGGCTCCTAGATCTTCGATCTCTCCTCCCAGTTTTCTCCTTCTATTTATACTCTCTGCCTGCCAGCCCCGCCTATCTTTTCTTCTGCTTTGCCAGTTCTTTATTAGACCATCAGGTGTTTACACAGGCATAGTAACAGCTCCACAGAGTTAAACAAAATGCAACATAAACAAAAGCAAGACACCTTAAAATAATATTCTACCACAGTTATTGGAGGTATTTGGGGCTTAGGGATTGAGATAAAGTCTTACTATGTAATTCTGTCTGAGTTAGAACTCATTATGCTGGCCTCAAATTTGGATTCATTTCCCTTTGCCTCCTTAGTGCTAGGATTAAAGGCATGAACCACCAGGCTTGGCATAAGCATTTTTAAACCTAGATTAAATGGTTTCTTTCTTGATGAACTCATTAAAATTTATTGCACTAAATTGGTCATGGTGGCAGGGCCTGTAATCCACCACTAGGAAGGCAGAGATAAGAGGGTTGCTGTCACTCAAAGAGCTTATTCTCTCTGCCTCCTGTATGACATGAAGCAAACTATTTTAATCTTCAGCATAATCCTTATATGATGTTCTTCCTCACTGTTCATGGACCCAGAAGCAATGGAATCACTTGACCATAGATTGAATTTGTGCTACCTCCTCTGCCAGTTTTACCACCATCTCCTTGCCTTCATACCCATAACCTGAAGGCACAGCCACAGGATGAAGTACCCGCCAACCATGATGGTCTCAGAACTGGCAACAAGGTGCAGGTGGAATGCCTTTATAATAACAATAGTGGACAAAGCCTCAGATGCTTGAGGAAAAGGAGCTTCAGTCAACGAGCATACACATGCCTAAAGCAAACACCACTGAAGTACTGAGGATAGCTCCAGTTTTCATTTTGGGAAGGTGGGGGCAGGCTTAAGTGATCTCAATCTGTAGACAAGGATGGCCTGGAAAGAGCCTCCCGGGACTGGTGTTGCAGAGCCACCAAAGTCCAGTTTTCAGGGCCTGCAAGATAGCCCAGCTGGTAAAATTGCTGGGCCAGCAGGCCTGGCAACCTGTGCTCAATCCTCAGAACCACGTAAAGTGAAAGAAAGAACCAGCTCCACAGAGTTGTTTTCTGTCTAGCTTTTTAAAGAATTAAAAGGGTATTGGGTGAGGCCAGAGGAGGAGATGAGCCCCTGATCTGGAGATAAAATGAGAGCTCCGCTAATGACCACAAGTCAAGTAAGAAGGGGAGATGCATGGGTGGTTGGAGAGAGATTAATTCCATTGGGTGAGGATAAGACTACTACCATAATTTTGAGCCAAATTTGAAGGAAGCTTTAATTAAATAATGTAATGGCCAGGATGATGAACTCTGGCCAGGACCATTCTGGTGTTGCCAGAAAATGGTGATGAATTGCAGTTTGCAAAGGCTTTGCACATCCAATGTAGTTGAGTCAAACAAACTTGTTTAGAGGAGTGAAAATATTTGCCTTTTTATCTTAAATAGCCTCTAGTAGATCAGGAAGTATCTGTCCTCTGGCAAGTGGGTTTATAGGTTAGAGGCTTTTTTGTTTTATGCATCTCCTAGGCACAGTAATACAACCTAAAACATAACTTTGGCTGTCACAATATTGCTAACTGACTTAAGTAGTAATGACTTTCCTATATGGGCAGCTGACAAAGCAAACAGATACTAGCAGTGCCACAGCTCTGAGGTGGTAAGTAGCCTTCCAAGTAAATAAGTAGGTGAGGACCAGACCAAACAACTTCAAGAGGAATAGACAGATTCATTCATCTCAAGTCCTTGGTCATTGGGAAAATTGTGTGTATCCTAGCATCCCCTTTCTTTCACACATTTTCAGACAGCTATACTTCACCAGTTAACTGGCTTGAAAATGCAGGAAAAAATTATACTGAGATAGGCGTGGTGTTGTATACCTCTAATAGCAGCAGCCAGAATTGGTGAGTTCAAGCCTAGCCTGGGTTACAGAAAGAGACCTGTCACAAAACAAAAAATGTGGTTGACAGATCTTTTGGAAGGGCCCAACTCATCAGCGGCTACTCTTAAACCCTTTTGTGATTCCTGTCCTCAGGTTATCCCAAGTGTTTCACACAGGATATACAAAACCCA